AAGGTCAAGATTTGGAGAATCAACGAAAGCAGATCAAAGTCAAAAGAAGTAAACTAAGCAAGTCATGAAAAGCTTTATTTAGAATTCCATGATGCAGAACATCAAAGTTAAGCTAATGACTATAAATAAGTGCTTATTGGGAGGAAACTCAATTTTCTTCTTTTTCATTTATTTTGCTTTATAGATATAATATTAATAATTTTTATTGCTTTTAGCAGTATATAGTATTTTCATCTGTTTTAATATTTATCCTTGATTAAGCTCCAAGTACTTATTTTAGAGAATCAGACATTTGACAAGGGATTATTAGCATAATTGATTCTTGGGAGTTGAAACAATTAAAAATAAAGAGAATCTTCATTTTATTGATGCGTTGAGCTGCAATTAGTAAGGTCGCACCAAATTAGAGAGGGTGAAGACTAACATATAAATTCAAACTTAGATCACATTAGGAAAATAGTTAAAAAAAAAAAAAAGTTTGAGGGTGTGAATTTCACAAGAGGAAAAATGATAAACTTAACTATTGAGAGTCAGGATTCGAATCACTTGAATTTATGATGCTTGACATGAATTTTCACTCACACATACACGTCGATTTTGCATTGATGAGTAGAAATTAATTTTAACGTTATGATTTTGTAGCAGTTCATAGTCTTAATACATATATTTCAATCTTAAAACCAAAAAACTTTTGGTTAAGTTAGGATATAGTTTTGTTTGAGGACAAACAAATATTCAAGTTTGAGGCTATTTGATAAATGTATTCGGTACACATATCTAGGCCATTAAATAGGAGTATTTGTTAGTGAATTGAGAACTCATTATTTTACATTGTAAATACTCATTCAATAAGAAAATATTATTTTGTGAGCAATTTTCGCTTTCAATTCTTTATTCTTCACTGAACTAATTTTATGAACTTATCAAGAATTATTTCTTGTGGTGTTCAAACAATTTGGGTGATATTCTTGAATCTTTTGGTCATGGGATCAACATATGATTGTGTTGGTTCTTTGGTTCATTATTTTTGGGTTGAACTTTAAACTTTGATTTCTTAGCTTTCCTGAGTCGATTCAATCTTTTGTGGATTTCGGAGCTACTATTACTAAGCGGGTTCATATCACTTGTTCTTGATAAAATTATTGTGTATGAAAAGGTAAGAGAGGGGGTTTTCTATGTTTTTCCCAAGTTCTTTACTTATAAGAGTCGAATTTAGGCCAAAATTACATCCAATTTAGGTTCCAAAAGAGTTGGAATCACAAAAGGAAACTGCTAATTCATCTACGAAATTGGCCCATGCCTGCACATAGGCATAACCATGATGCGCACACCATTGATCCAAATAGCTCATGGGTCATTAAAATTTTAGCCTCGCAAGCAAGTTTGCGGAGTTTTTCCCTAAGCAACTTTCAGTATTTTGATCATAATTTTCTCTTCAATATTTGATTAAAGTGATTCAAAGGGCTTTGGAATGAAGACTCAAAAGGTTACAATTCTTCTTGAATACAATTTTTCCAATTCGAATGTTTGCTATCCAAAAAATGAGTTTTATGTTGTGGCTAAAAATTCGAAGAATAACTCCTTTAATTGAGAATTGATTTTTGAAAATACTTCAATTTTATTTCCTCCTTTGACCTCCAATTGATCATATGTGATCTTCAATCATCATTTTATGGCTTGAATCAATTATTGAATATATATACACTTTGATCCCCAAACTTTTGATTTCTTTCCATTTTTCGTTCCTTTCTTCCAATTCCACCCATTTACATTGAGTTTCAAATTCATCGAGAACAAGATGTCAATTAATCACTTTTTAGAGAGAAGATCAAGTCATAGCAATGAATTGAAACTCAATTATATAATTTTTTTTTTTTTTTAAGAATTCAACTTTGGACTTGAAGATCAATATTTTTGAATTCTTTCATGATCTGGGTGATTTTTTTTCATTATTCTTCTTGTAATTTATATATTAATATGCTAGACTAGATCTACTTTTTATATTGGATGAAGATGAACCTTAGTTGTTATTTATTTCTAATTCTTTAGTAATTTTTGTGATTCTTGATTAATTATGCATACCCATTGCATTATTTAATTAATTGGCTACCAGTTAGATAGTAAATTACTTCTTGTAGTGTTGAAAGACTCACTATAAGTTTAGAACGTGGCAAAATTAATGTATATGCAATAGATGTTAGGAATAACATTTATCATGTTTACAATCATATATATAATCTAAACTTTAATAAATTCTAACCATTCGAATTTGAGTTAGAAATAGATTCGGATCGTGGATAGGCTAGAATTAATTTGTCTTGGAAGAGAAAGTTAAACACATTAGTTTTACCGATTGTCATAAATGGAACTAGATTACAAATCAAAAATTGGAATAGGCGGATTTTAAATTCAATATAATCATCCATAATTTGATTAAAAACCTAACTTTTATTGCTTTCTTAAATTAATTAGCAAAAATCAAATAAAAATCCCAAAACGGCTCAGAAAGAAAAAGGTGCATGCCGCACTCACGAAGGACTGCCAGTGATATACTGGAGGAAGGTGGGGTCATTGATTACGAGATACTCACTTTCAATGGTAGGATCAACCCTCGCACCCTAGAGCCGAAGACTAGCTTGTAGTTCTCGGTCTGTGAAGTTGCGTTGTTAGGTGCTCCATTTTCTTTTCCCATTTTTTTACATAATTCAAATTTCATACGAAACTAGTAAACTTGAACTGAATTTATTCCACGTGGGACGATATTCTCAACTCACTCAAATCTATTACTTGTCGACGATCCCGTATGTTTGCAGGTATCGCACGAACATCTATTTTTGTTGTAGTGCACATATTTTTCTAGCATGATTGTTGGATGGGGAATTCTACCTTGCAGATCCACTGCCACATTAACAACACTCAATTGTATGGGTCCATATTTCTTTAATGATATAGGCCGGGATATCTATTATAGGTCCTTCAACCTTTTATAGCTGAGAAGATTGGAAGCATAAAACTCTGCTATGATACTCTTGATTGTATTGTGTAAGGATACGATGGATGGTAGTTTCCCTACAAAGTCTATCGACGGTCTATTCTCTTGGGCCACACGCCTAAGGTTAACTATTGCTTGATCTGGAGCTTTATTATTCCTCCGAAGATCTCCTTCTTTTGTTGAAAATATTGCATGCCCTATTCTTAGTTAACATTGTGATTGAAGATGAATTGGGTGTTATCTAGCATCTCGATTTTATTGTTGTTTGATGCTGTAACTATTTTGTACTTATTTAGAGGTAGTGGAATTTCAGACTAGATATGAAACTATTTCTCTAACATATTTCAGGTTGGTGGGTTCATCGGACCATCTCTCTTCTGCACATAAACCATTTATTTTAGTTTGTACACTGACGATGGGATTTGGATATTGCTCCTCTATTTGGTGTCTCTGTCACTCACCCCCCCCACCTCTTCTTCCTATTTTAAATTTTCTGCATGCTCCATCGATGTGATCTTTCAAGGCCAATATCAATAGTGCATCAAGATTGATTCTACTAGTAGTGTGGATATAATCTAGGATCGGTTTGGACAATATATTTTTGCATTCCTGTCATCTTATGATAATTGTCATATACTTGAGGCTAAGCTACAAGACATTCTTGATGGGATCCTTTTGGTGTGTTGACTTGGACTTTCATACTCAAGGATATAGATGAATTCCTCTTTAATGATTCATTGCATCACATGTGGGGGTCATAGTGTATATCGACTACCCTCAAACATATTAGATATCTATTTTCCTTTTGACCATTGCAATATTTTCATATCTATCTTGAGGAAAATCAAGTTGCTAGCTCGCTGTATTAGAGGGACGTGACAAATGTTGCTATTAGGAGTATTGTCCTATTGAGTTGCCCTAAGGCCTTTTCGCACTTTTACAAATTGCCAAATATGGTTTTCGTACGTAAAGATGTTTTTAGACTTTATCTTTTCATTCTTCACATTTGTAGATTAGATAATACCTCATCATTTACTACTTTCAGTTTTCATGACTTTGATTGGAGATTACATTTTTGCCCTCGTTATATTCATTTATGTTTCATTTGTGTCATAGTATGGGATCATTATCACCTTCATACTGTCTTTGTGGAGCCTAAAACACACATTGATGCTATAATGGTGCTTTGCAAAAAAAAAAGAAAAAGGTAAAAGAGAATTTTCAATTTCAATATGTGTTGTTCAATTGTATTACTGGAGCATCAAGAGAAACATTTACTAAGAATTGGGTAAGGAAAAAAGGGTGGTTGACCATTGAGGATTATGGTGCAGAGAAGAATGGGGATTTCTGGAAAACCGACCTTGTCTTTTTGAAATGTTTTCAAAGAATAAAATTCAAAAATATTAAAAAAGAAAGAAGAAAAAAAAGATTAAATTAATAATACTCTTTTAAAAGCATCAATAATGGTGGTGTAAAATTGTGAGTAAATTGGCTTTTTTACATCCTTTTTTACATCCTGATGATCTAAATTCAAATTCTGCTCTAACGATCTAAATCCATTTTATGACTCTTGTTAATATTAAAAATATGAAAATATACGTATTTTTTGTCGAAGAATGTAATTTGCAATTCATTTACATCTCTCCATTCAAGAACTTCTGGGCAACTATGAAGATCTAAATCATAATTTAAATCCATTTTGAAGTACCATTGGAGATGGTTAAACTTAATCACTGTTTGATTCACATTAAAAGCATAATTCATTTTTCTCTTTCTTCTGGTTAATCACACATTTTTTTATAAAATAATATTACACGTAAATTCAAAATAATTTCCTTTTTTTTTAAACCAAATATTCTTAAAAAAAATTATTTTAAAAACTATAATATCAAATAATAAGAAATAATGGGGCAGACGGTGGGCTTAAGAAAGCACTAACAAATGGGAAACCGAGGCTACCACTACCCCGACTATACACTGTGGGATCGTAGGTGCAACACGGCCATTTGACTATCTCATGATAGCATAGGAGACTACCAAATATTTCAAAGAAAATATGCCCACATGAACAGCGTGTCAAATTTTGGTTTCATTATTCCCACACCGACCACTGACTCTCCTTTATAAATCCCCCACTCTCCCATTTACCGTATGCACATTCAATTCCTTTGATCACTGAAAGTTTCTGCTGCAGATCAACAATGGCAGAAACGAAGTCGGATCAAGCAACCGAAGCTCTATTTTCGCCATACAAGATGGGCAAATTCAATCTTTCTCACAGGTACATATTCCTACTAATTCGTTTCGCCGGGTTTTTCTTCAATTGGGATTGGATGCGCGGTAGGGAGCGTTTCCCTAAGTTCAAACTCGTGGCCAGCAGTTGATCGATTGATTGATGTAATCCCTGCTGTTAGTTGATGAATTTTAGACTCAACTCAACGGAAGTATAGCTATTAATCGGTCGTTCCTTGATAGATTTAAGTCGGTTTATAAGTCAATTGATTTAAATATAAAAGTTCAGTTGAAACCAATTTTGTAGGTGACGTAATTTTGGAACTACAAGTGTTAAAATTTTTTTTTCCCCTCCAGAATTAGTTATATATATATATTTAACGTAAATAAATATAAATAATTTTGGCATTAATTGTGCAGGGTGGTGCTTGCTCCCATGACCAGGTGCAGAGCTCTGAATAACATTCCAGGGCCCGCCCTTGTTGAATACTACACCCAAAGATCAACCAACGGTGGGTTTCTCATCACGGAGGGCACCATGATATCTCCCACCGCTGCCGGGTAATTCTGTAATTTTTGTGTAGTATATTATATATATGGAAATGATCTAATAGACACCGGTACTTAAACAATTGATTGGTGGATACGTTAATGGTAGGTCTCATAAATTTAATGATTCATCAATCAATTGACGTGACATGTCTTCCTAAAAAAATGAAATAAAATTAAAAAAAAAAAATTGTTGTGCAGTGTCATTGATACTTAATATGAGCTAAGCACTGGTGTCCATTAGATCATTTCCCTGTATATGTATGTAAGTATGTAGTAGGGAAAATAAAACAAGCATAAGGGGATACAGAGGTAGTAGGGAAAATAAAACAAACACTTCAAAATGAAGAAATTGAAGATATTATTGATAATAAACTTCTGAAATTACAATTTTGAAAATTGAAAGTTTAAAAACTGTAAAATACGAGGTTTATGAACTTCTTGTTGACCGTTTTCTTTATAAGGAAAAACACTCTACTCAATCTTGAACTCTTCATCTCCTTTTATACTTGAACCTTTTGAGCTCTGGTCTTTTAATTTGGAGGAGAAATCTTAAATAAAGCAAAATATTATTGCTTTTACTATTTTCTATTTGAAAACCTTTGCCAACTTTTTAAAAATTTGGCACCTTCTTTTATCTTCTTCATCTTTGTGAAATTTGAAATCGTCCTTTTGAGAAGCAAATGACAACTTTTCCCTTTTTATTCTACCTATTGAATTATTAATCCAACTTTATCTTTTAAATGTCGGTAAAGCTGGTAAAAATAATTTATTAGGTGGCAAACACATTTTGAAAAGAATGTCTTTTGATCTTTGGGCATTGTATGAGGATGATTCATCCAAGTGGCTAGGTCCATATACTCAATTTTTGAACTATTGTTTGCCTCAAGCAATATAGTGACTTAACTCTAAACAAACATGGCTTAATAGCAGGATTGGACTTTAGTGATTTTCATTAGAAGAAGTTTCAATAGTGTATGAATGAAATCAACTTGTAGTTAAGTGCATATTTGACGTCTGTGTGTGAACTCATGTCAACATATCAAGTTCATGATGGAGTTAGTCCCGACTCAGAGTGGTCAATTATGTTCTCACTACGTTCGAGAGATACACAACCCCCAAACTTATTATTTCCACTTAATTATCTCGGGTTGTGTTTTAAAGTTAAGGTTTTAGTAACTGTAATCCTTGCCCTCTCCAAGTTTGCATAGATCTTACAATCACAAGTTCATATGTCAACAAGTGTAGGCTTTCCTAGATTTGATTGCTTCAACACTTAATATTAAATTCAATTACTTATCTTGCCTCAAAAGTGTAATTTTTTCAACCGAATGTCCAAGGGCTTCATCCATACCATCATGTCTATTGTTATTTGTTTTAAAACAAAATTTTTTATGCCACCTTCTCAATTTTGAATCTAAGTCTGATTGAGTCTTTTTTGAAGAAACTTCAGTAATATTGGCAATCTTCTCTGAAACTAACGCTAATTTTTTTGGAGTTTTACATTGAAAAAGCATAGCTAATAATCTTTATTTTTTAGTTAAGAAATCAGCTTGCTTTTCTTGATCTTTCTTTGAGATTTTTAGAATTCCCAAATTTCTTTGTTCTTAAATGCTCATAGTTTACTGTTTTGGAACAACAATTTGTTTCATGGAATTTTGACATCCATTTTATTTTGAATCGTCGTACAATCTTTTTGATAATATATTTTTGTTTAGCTTGAGTAACAATCAAATCCCAGCAAAACATCCAGGATACTTTGAGATTCATTGCAAAATGCAACAAAAGATTTTTTTGAGGCTGTAAAAAATGTTTGTCTCTTTTTTCAAGTGTTCATATCCTTGACGAGAAAGACTGTAAAATATTCTTGTCAAGACCAAAATAAATGAACTAAGTTTGTAATCATTTTGAAAAATTAGGATTACAAGATTAACAATATAAACTATGAATGAGTCACTGGTCGAAGATAAAATATATTGAACTAAGTAATCTTATAATCAAGATAATTGAAACATTCAAATTTACATTTGGCAAATTCATACGTTTTTCTTCTCAGGATTTTTGTTCCCAGTCTTCATAAGACCTGACCCTTTTAATTGAAATTTTTAAAAAATCTGGATTTTAAAAGTTTTGAGTGTGAGTGATAATGTCTTATTTTGTTTTTGTAAGGATAGCCTGATAAAACTCACGATTCTTTTTGATGTTGTTTGGAAGGCAATAAAAATTTGGAGGAAAAATAGCTAGGAAACATTTTTCAAGGGAAGAATATCTTTGATTTTAGGAACTTTCCATTTCAAGGACTGGATATTAAACATTTTTGGTAAAATATTGAAAAGCTCTTGGAGGGTTAATTTCTAGAAGTTTTCCACATCCTGTTTGACTGGCTTTTTTGAAATTGGTTGATTTTGGCTTATTGGGGTTACTTTGATTTGGATGAAGATTTAATTTTGAAGCAAGGGTTATATTTTGTGAAGAGGAAACATGGGAATTTGAAATATAATCATCAATTGAAAGAAGAGGAATATTTGCCTTCTTATTTTCTCTCTCAACTTTTGAAAATTTCATTTCTCTTTTTCTCTCAAGACTGTATAAACTATATTATAAAAAAGTCTGCAAGATAATTTGATTTCCCTTGTATATATAATATTTTAAATCGAAACATGACAAAATAGCTTGCCATCTAGCAAAAATTTGTTTTGAAACAAGATTTTTAATGTCCTTTTGCAAAACTTCTTTAAATGCTTTGCAATCAGTTTTTAAAATGAATTCTTTATTAATTAAATCATCTTGAGATTTTGAAATACATAGTACAATCGATAAAATTTCCTTTTTGATAGTTGAATAGTTCTTTTGAGGGCCGATCCATACACTATGTAACCTTACCAACTGTTCTTGATTTGATTCTTTTGGAATCTTTTTTAACACTCCACCAAAGCCTAAATTAGATGCATCAGTTTTAACAATAATGGAGGTAGTAGGATCAAGAATTGATAGAGATGGAATATTTTTGACAGCCTATTTAACTTTTTGGACAGCAATAGTATGCTTGTGACTCCATGGGTCCAGGTTCTTTTGTAATTTTTTGAAAAGAGGGGTACAAATCTACCTTATCTCTTTGATAAAGTCTACGACATAAGAAACAATCAATGAATCTTTGAAGAGAAGATTTGTCTAAGATTTAAAATCAAGACTTCTCTGAGTTGGAATAATTGTGCCTAATTGAATATCGTGACCTAAAAAATGGATTTTTGTTTGACATAAAACAATCATTTTAGCAGAAATCGCTAAACGATTTTTCTTGATAATGTGTATGAATGTAGTTATATGTTTGAAATGTTGTTCTATACTTTCTGAAAATATAAGAACATTATCTATATAAACAATAATGAAATTTGAAAAAAGATTAAAAACAATCTTCTTCTTTAATTTGAATTTGCCAAAATCCCGACTTCATATCACATTTTGAGAAGATAACTGCTTACTAGTCTAATCAAAAGATCTTTCTTTTGAGAAAGTGGACAATGAATTCATTGAAGAGCAATATTAAGAAACTAATATTTGATTATGAGACGCGGAGCACCTCGTTCAATTTCAACCGAATTATTGATATAGAAAGCTGAACAACTCCAAGAAGACTTGCTTGGACGAATTAAATCGTTGTCAAGTAAATCTTTAATTTCCTTGACACAAAAGTCTAACATTTCTTTGCTCATTTGAATAAGGCGACATTTCGTTGGAATATTTGATTCATGAAAATCAGTATTGTAAGGTAGAGAAACAACATATTTTTTTCTATCCCAAAAAGCATTTGGAATAGTTGAACAAATTTCATTTTCAATTTGTTTTTGAAAATTTGAATTCTTTTTCAAAGATTGAAGAGTTTAATAATTATTCTTCAGTTCTTTTAAATTTAATTTTTTCTTTAAGAAATTGAATATGATTTTTCTTAAAGTTAATATTATTAACTATTTTTGAAATAGCTGCTTCTTTTAAAGAATTTGCATCCTTATAAGAAGGAGGGTTTGTAAATTTGAAAAATATTTTTTGTTCAAAAATATTTGTAGTTAAACCTTTTGAATCAACTTGAAAAGGATAACGTTGAACTTTGAAAGGAGTGTCAAGAATAACTTCTTGATCTAAATCTTTTATATAAAAATATTTTCAAAACAAATATTTGAATTACAAACATGGGCATTTGAAAGTTTATAATTAAAATTGAGTTTCTTGCCACTGGAACCATAAAGAAGTTCAGTAGTTTTTTCAAAATATTTTGTAGGGATAAGCCCTTCCCTAATACAATTTTGATCAGCTCCTAAATCAATATGGACTCTGGAAGTGAATTTAAATTCTTTTTGACTATAATAGTCATATTGTAGTACCATTTTTGAAGTTGAATTCGATTAATGGCGTTAACCTTTTCTTCGAATTGAGATTGAGAAATTTTTAATAAAGATTCAGAAGAGGAAGAAGAAGAAGAGGATGAAGATTTTGATTTAGAGAATTTAGAGGATTTTGATTTGGAATTTATTTTTGAATAATATTCATTATTCAAATCTTTTGCTTTAAGAATAATAACTTCCATTTTGATTTCTTTCATTTGATTTTCTAGATTAGAAATTTGAGATTTCATATTTTTAATTTCAAACTTTAAATCTGGAATAGAAACTTTTGAGGAAGATCCAATTTTAAATCTTTTTAATATGTTTTGCATATTAATATCTTCAAGTGGAGGATTTGAATTTGAAGGAAGAAGAGAACTAAATTTCTTTTTTAAATTTGGATCATCAATTTGACCAAAATTTTAGATTTCATATTCTTAATTTCGAACTTTAAATCTAGAATAGAAACTTTTGAGGAGGATCCAGTTTTAAATCTATTTAATATATTTTGCATATTAATATCTTCAACTGAAGGATTTGAACTTGAAGGAAGAAGAGAATTAAATTTCTTTTTTAAATTTGGATCATCAATTTGACCAATAATTTCTTGAGTAATCTCTTCTTCATTAGATAAAACATTTATAGTTTTATAACCACAAAATTCTTTATCGTTACTTGAAGAAGATTGAATAGAAGTTTCTGTTTCAGAATCTTCTTGTTCTTGAAATACTTGTTCTAATTATGAGTTAAGACTCGTCATCAGAATTGCTAGAGTTAATAAGATTGAGAAGTTCAAGTTTAATTTCTTCATCAATTTGAAGACTATTAATCTTTCCCTTCAAAGGGCATTTATTTGAATAATGACCTATTTGTTTGCATTTCCAAAAGGTTGCATTAGTATTTTTTGAAGATTTTTTGGTTGAAGATCTTTTTCTTTTTGAATTATCTTTAAAATTATTCATTTGCAATTCTCTTTTTTGAAATGATTTTTTCTTATAAAAAATTTTCTTTTTATTTTTTGAAGGGGGAAGAATTTTCTCAAAACCATATTATTCACGGAATGATCCTAATTCTCTACGATTTTTAGATTTTTGTGATTTCAGTTTAGCTTTGAGTTTCATATCATTACATAATTCTAATCTTGTTTCAAAACAAATTTTTATTAGATGACAAGCTATTTTGTCATGATTCGATTTCAAAATATTATATATATAAAAGAAATCAAATTATCTTGCAGACTTTTTTATAAGAGAGTTTATATAGTCTTAAGAAAAAAGAAATGGAATTTTCAAAAGTTGCGAGAAAAAATAAGAAGGCTAATATTCCTCCTTTTGATTGATTATTATATTTCAAATTCTTATGAATCTTCCTCTTCTCAAAATACAACCCCTGCTTCAAAATTGAATCCTCATCCAAATCAAAGTAATCCTAATGAGCAAAAAACAACAAATTTCAAAGAAGTCGTTCAAACAGGATTTGGAAAACTTCCAGAAATTAATCCTTTGAAAGCTTTTTAATATTTTATCAAAAATGTTTAATATCCAGTCCTTGAAATGGAAAGTTCCTGAAATCAAATATATTCTTCCCTTGAAGAATGTCTCACAGATATTTTTCCTCCAAATTTCTATTACCTTCCAACATCAATAAGAGTCGTGAGTTTTATGAGGCTATCCTTACAAAAATAAAATCATCCATTATCACTCACTCTCCAAACTTTCAAAATCCAAATTTTTCAAAAATTTAAATTCAAAGAGTTTGATCTTATGAAGATGGGGACAAAAACCCTGGGAAGAAAAATGTATGAATTTGCTAAATGGTAAATTTGAACATTTTGGGGGGTGGTAGGAAAGGAAAAAAAAGAAGGGATACATTCGCGACACTATCACGGCCAACCATAGACACTCTAAGATCCTTTTTTAAACCTGCTCCCATTTCGAGTCAAGAGATAGCCTAAACAAGAATTCTTGAACAGCGAACAACCAGTTCTGATATTCACACGACCAAGAAGTACTAGATTCTCTTTCGGATAGGTCCTGGCCGAACCGCTAAAGTAGCTAAAGTAGTGATGAATCTCGTCAGTAAAATTGGTTTTTTATCCATACCGAATCCAAACTTGAATTCTTGACCCAATCAATCCAAAATTCCTTTATTTAAGCCACGATTCTCGCCAACCAACCTATTGACCAAGCAAAAAACCTCATTCTTTTGGATCTTATCTTGATTATAAGACTGCTTGATTCAATGTATTTTATCTTTGACCAGTGACTCATTCCTGGTTTATATTGTTCCATCAGTCTTGTGATCCTAATTTTCCAAAATGGTTTCAAACTTGATTCATTTATTTTGGTCTTGACGTGAATATTGTGCCTAATCTTACTCGTTAAGGATATGAACACTTCAAAAAAGAGGCAAAAATCTTTTCACAGCCTTAAGAATATCTTTTGTTTCGATTTTCAATGAATCTCAATGTATCTTGGATATTTTGTTGGAATTTGATTGTTGCTCAAGTTGAACAAGAATATATTGTCAAAAAGATTGTAAGAAGATTCAAAATAAAATGGTGGTCAAAATTCCACGAAACAAATTGTTGTTCCAAAGCAGTAAACTTATGGACTCAAGAACAAAGAAATTTAGGAATTCAAAAAATCTCAAAGACAGATCAAGAAAAGCAAGCTGATTTCTTAACTGAAAAATCAAGATTATTAACTATGCTGCTTTCTCAATGTTAAACTCCAGAAGAATTAATAGTAGTTTCAGAGAAGATTGTCAATCTTGTTGAAGTTTCTTAAAAAAAGACTCAATCAGACTCAGATTCAAACTGCTCTCGAAGTACTAATAATGACTATGATTGCATGAGATTGATATTATACCCTCATAGCTCAATAAGATAAAAAATGACTATATGGACCCAACTACTTGAATGAATTATCCTCATACAGGGCCCAAAGATAAAAAAAACATTCTTTTCAAAATGTGTTTGTCACTTAGTAAATTATTTTTACCAGCTTTACCGACGGTTGAACCAGAAACATAAGAAGAGTACAAGAACGAGGGATTCTTGGGGATCCACAAAAGATGGACAATTGCAGAAGATCGATAACATGTATAAGGGAAGCGTGTTCCAACGGGTCATGGAGATTGAAGAAAGTAGATTAGCAAGACTAGTGGATTTTCTAGGCTGATCGTGTTGTAAGTTCATCATTGTCTATAGTGAAGGTTACTAGTTTGGTCCCGAAGTTTATACGTAATTGGATTTTCTCCGTCAACAATTCTTGTATTAATGTATTACATTTATATTACAAACTGTGACAAACATAGGAAAATTTGACTTGATCGATTAACCATCTAGGATAGTGACTTTTTACTTTTGATTGATAATTTTGATTCCACAGCATTCATCTATTCACTCAATCTAGGTAATTTTAGGGTCGAGCTATTAACTTGCATTGTTCAAATGTTATTTCATTTACACTCTGTTTGGTTGGGATTAAAATTTAGATTTTAATTTGAGTTAAAGTCAAAAATTAATTTTAACTAAATATATTTGTGGGTCCCACAATTTTTCAACCACACATTTCACCAATTTCTATAAAAGTCTATTAAAAACCTGATTTTAATTCCCATCAAACCATACAATTTACGAGATCCACAACATTTCAACCACACATTTCACCAATTTCTATAAAAGTCTATTAAAAACCTGATTTTAATTCCCATCAAACCATACAATTTACGAGATCCACAACATTTCAACCACACATTTCACCAATTTCTATAAAAGTCTATTAAAAACCTGATTTTAATTCCCATCAAACAGGGACTTAGTAATGTAAATGGATGGCTGTGATTTTTGGTCATTTGACTGTTTTATTAGGGAGAACAATTTTGAAATAATTGCTAGTACTTATCAATTATTCGTAAAATTGATATAAATATGAAAAAAATAGTGATGCAAAGTTAAAAAATCAAATGAATCTGCAGCATTTCATTTGTTAAATTTGCATCTAAGATAAGATCTACCCACAGATGAGGTGATGACCAATTTGGCAATCAACTAAATTTTTGGTTCGAATTTCTTCCATTGAATTTTACGTAAGGTAATCATTGATAAAAGCTAATAATCAAAAAACATTTCCTATGTGGATTTTGCTGTTATTTTGAGAGAGGAAATTTTATGCACAGTGCCTCAGTTAGGAAATCAAAGAACTGACTGCTGATACTGGTTTTTGGCAAATTAACAGCATCTTAAGATTTATACTTATAGATAAATCTGCAACATTTCATTAGTAACATTCATGATGTATAAGATGAGATACTAATGACACAATAATACTTGTGCTATTGTATATGCTACTAAATATTGACAAACTTTTCAAATGTTTTAGTCCGATTCTTGATTGTCTTTCTGTATGCAAATTCTACTCAAAAAACATTTTCTGTTTGCATTATGTATTAGCTCTTAACAGCATCTTAAGATTTATACTTATAGATAAATCTGCAACATTTCATTAGTAACATTCATGATGTATAAGATGAGATACTAGTGACACAATAATACTTGTGCTATTGTATATACTACTAAATATTGACAAACTTTTCAAATGTTTTAGTCCGATTCTTGATTGTCTTTCTGTATGCAAATTCTACTCAAAAAACATTTTCTGTTTGCATTATGTATTAGCTCAAATTTAGTAAGTTTTCATGGATATACGCACAGTGCTTCAGCCTGGTGGGGTTGTTCCAATATCTTCCACGGACAAGCCAATATCGAAGAGGTGGAGAGTACTAATGCCTGATGGGAGTTATGGGATTTACCCAAAGCCACGTCAATTGGAAACCTATGAGATACCGCAGGTGGTAGAACACTATCGCCTGGCTGCCTTAAATGCCGTTGAAGCAGGTCGGTCAACCTTATTAATTAGAGGATTATGCAATAGTTGTGTTAGATTGGTAATTCTGTTATTTTTACTTGAAAAATCAACATTATGATTCTATGGATCTTATGAAGAAAAAATATTTTTCGTGATATTTCTTACTTTTTTGTTGCTTGAGATATACTAGTTTTATGCATAAGATATATGGAAGATTGGTGCTTCAAGGCTCAAACTATGTTTATTTTCGGAAAATGAATATCCTGTAATTGTTCTTATCATTGTAGGTTACTAAGGCTAATAAAGGATGGATTAAAAAATTGCTTGGGTGAGTTGGGGGGGATAATTTTGAATGTTCACCCCATTTTCTCCCTGTACTCAATTTCCTTCATTTTTACTACAATTATCAATGCCAATGTCACCACAATGCAATTACTATATGTATTGTAGCTACAGAACTGCAGTTAAAAGTCCTACATCCAAAATCAATGAGACATCTGTAAATTTCAACCAGAAGCTTCAACAGACTGATTCCAGCTTCCAGTTTTAGTAATTTGACCACAAATGGAGTAAACCCGGAAAGAGAGAAGATTTAAGCTTGTTGATGACAAAGACAGCTGAGGTAGAGAGGAGTCAGCACAGTAGGGTTTAAGTGACATTAATTGGAGCTTAGCATCAGTGGATCATGGTTTTGTTGCAATAGGACTAGAGGAGCGAGGACCATGATAAAAGATGTTGCAACATATTAAATTATGTGAGGATAAAAAAGAGAGTGCTCCAATAGGAAAATAAATTCGGTGATAGAAGACATGAGGTGGATGGAATGAAGATTCTTCCCTCTCTTTCTTCCCTCGCCCCCGGCCAAAGAGAAAAAAAATAAAAAATAAAACAAACTAAAAATAGAAGAGTGATGTCCGATTGTGGTCTAGACAACTTCCTATAGCTGGCTTTCTTTCCTTTTTAGGAAATTGGTTCAGTCATAATCCAGATACAGCTTCTTCCATTGAGAATCCGGTCATTGACAGCGGGGTTCATTGTTTTCTGAACTCGAGGGCTCATAAGTACTTTGACGAAACAGTGAGGCAGATTTAACTACCCAATTGGAGTGAAGAAAATTTTCAATACACGTCGTTAACGATTATAATATATGATCTTTTACTAATATTATGTCTTTGTATCACCTTACATGTCTTCAATTGTTGAGTTTTTCAAGTACAAGTAAATATCATGTAATAATGATGCAAAATTAACAGGTTTTGACGGTGTTGAGATCCACGGAGCTCATGGTTACCTGATTGACCAATTCCTCAAGGATGGGATCAATGAGCGCAAAGATGAGTATGGCGGATCTCTTAGAAACCGCTGCAAATTCATAATGAACGTAGTGCAAGCAGTTGTTTCTGCCGTTGGAGCCGAGAGAGTTGGTGTCAGAATGTCACCTGCAATTGATCATCTTGATGCGATGGACTCTGATCCACTCAGCCTAGGCCTAGCTGTGATCGAGAGACTCAACAGCCTCCAAATAGATTGTGGCTTAAAACTTGCATATTTACATGTGACTCAGCCCCGATACACAGCCTATGGGCAAACAGAGTCAGGCAATCATGGTAGTCCAGAAGAGGAGGCGCGATTCATGATGACTTGGCGAAGGACTTATCAGGGAACTTTCATATGTAGTGGTGGATTCACTAGGCAGCTTGGAATTGAAGCTTTAGCTCAGGGTGAGGCTGATTTGGTGGCGTATGGACGACTATTTATAGCAAACCCAGACTTAGTTTTGAGACTCAAACTCAAAGCACCTCTAAACAGGTATGTTAGGGCTACTTTCTATACCCATGATCCTGTTGTAGGATATACTGATTACCCCTTTCTGAGCAGTAATAACGGATCTAACACACCTTCGTCACGTATGTAATCATGAAAAAATTGGCACCACTACGTATTTATATGAGCCTATAGCTCGAATTAATTGTATATCGTGTTATAATTTTAGTTTTTACGTCAATTCCGTATAATCTATTATGGCCTTCAGCTCTGCCATGGCCTTTCGTTTTGAAAAGAGATCGAAAGATTTGATGATTGTCTATTTGATTGATACCGGTAATATTTATTCTTCTCATTAAAGGTGCAATCTGAACAAACTTTTTTGTAGAGATAAATGCACTTTTTACGTGAACCCAAAATGAAATGGTTGGGCGAAGGAATTGTTCTATTTCTTTCAGGGTACTTCTGTGAAAATATTGTGTGGAGATGGTTGAGGCCGGGAGCTCAGTAGATTAGAACATGGGAAAAATTCATATGTAAAGTGTATTGTTTACATCAATTCACAAATGAGGTACAAAGTTTAAAAATTCAAAATTCAGGTTTCTACATAATTAATTGAAAATATTTATTAATTAAATATACTAAAATTACAGTTACACGATTAATGGTCACAAATTCATAATTATTGGTAACAGATTTACTTATTGGTCACATATCATCAACTATGGTTATAAATTATTTCGAGGTTACAAATAAAAAATTTTGTGGGCCACAGATTATTTCGAAGTCACAGATAAAAAATTTACAGGTTACAAATTATTTTATTGGTTACAGATTAAAAAAATTACAAGTCACAAGGTCACATATGTTTAAAATTATTGGTCACATATTCTAAATAGTTGGTCACATGCACCAAATACCCTCACCACGAATCCCAATCCATCACCAATCTTGGCCAAAATCATCACCATGCAATTGTCGCTTGCACCACACCATCGACTGCACCTCACTAACATTGTTAACAAAACAAACACCAATTTAGCAAAAAAAAAATAAAAATAAATAATAATAATAATAAAAAAAATAAAAAATCCATAGTATAAAATTCAACCTCCATTTCATGTAAAATCATTAATTCAATGCCAAATCAGCCAATTGTTCAGTCGGGTTGCTAGCCTGCTGCTGATACACGTTCCTCATAACCTCCATAGCCTCTGCAACCTTAGCTTTTAAAGCATCTGTTGATTCTAGCAAGTGTAAAACTCTCGTCTGGTCCATTTCCAGAAGCTTGCCCATCACCTTAGCTGCCGTGTTAGGCTCTAGTTGTTCGACCAGTGGGTACATATTTTCGCCCAACATATCCTCTGTTTTGTGGGTGAGGCATTTGCAAGAGTAGATGCCAAAGCTCCAATGCACCTCCCCCACATCAATACCGGCGCATCAACGTCGAAGAGAGAAGGTGCCTGTAGATCGGAAAGAGAAAGGACGTCGCGACGCTGCGTTCGTAGTAGCGTTGCCTCCCCCATGTCGGCACTGGCACCTCCCCATGCCGTTGCGGTCCTTCGTCGCCGGTTGCAGTGGTCGCTGGCGTCAAGTAGATAGAGAGGGGATGGGAAAGTGTTGATGTATGAATGATTAGGGTTAGAAATATGAAATGAATTGGGTGGATTTATTTAATATTTAAATTATTAAATCAATACTTGATTTTTACACAATGAAAATTTAACCCAGATCTTTGAATTGTAATATTTAAACACATGGTTTTATGTAATTTTCCCTTAGAACATCTGGCTATAACCCACGGGGGTCTTGAATCTTAATGTTTGCAGTAGTTTACCTTCCATTTGTGCTGCCCATTGGGCCTAAATTTGCATGAGCTCAGCTTGGACTTTCACAAATGTTATCTATTATTAAATTTTAAAAGTTCTACAATTTGTCACTGAATTTTTTCAAATATTTCCAAGTAGATAAGAAGAACCAAAATTAACAGAGATAGCACCGTAATGAGGGTAATTATTATTATTATTATTATTATTATTATTATTATTATTATTATTATTATTATTTCAAGTTAGCATCTCATTTTGATATTTTTTATTGGCACCTTGTTCCGAGAGAGCTAGTTCTTGTATTCTTTCCAAATGAAATTTATAACGCCAAATGTTTTATTATGACCATTTTGTTATGCAGTTCTATGGGGCAGGAATTTTTTGGGCTTTTTTTTTCATTCTAATTGGTCCCACTCAATGTGAGTATCCGTCAACAAGGATATCAAATTCTTTTTGACAAAAGAGCTTAATTCATCAAAATTGAAGATGGAGTCTAGAATGTACAAATAGACCAAAAACTTTCGTTCACTTTGTCTAATTTTAGGAGAATAAATGTAGAAAGGAAGATGGAGAATTTTATAACATTTTTGAAGAGTGGAATATATTCGTCAAAAGATTCTGAAAAATTGATATTATTTACAAACCTAAAAGTATAAATGTTGAGAAATTGGTAATATATTTGATACTATTTTGTTGAGAATCAGGTCAAATAATAAAGACAAGAAAATAAAAGCAATATGAAAAAATAATGGATCGCAGAAGAACATAAGATTTATGTGGAAAAGTAAGAATTTCAACTTACCAAAAACAAAAATTGTTTTATAAGATTTAATATTTGCAATTTAAATCTAAACAATCATCTCAAGTTTCTAATGTATACAACAATGATTTGATATGGAGTACATATGGAAACTTATTACAAGTGTTTTGGATGAAATACAACTCAAGAAACAAGTTAGAATCGAAAAAGGATTCCCGCCAAGATAACTTTGCCATTCAGCTAGGCGAGTGCCTAGCTCTCTGCTCCATTTTTCACCTTAGATGCTTGAGTGCCAAAGTCAGTGGCTAGCTAGCCAAATTGTAGCGACTTTTTCTCTACCAAAACTGCAAAATCAAGTCTTCAATTTTTCACAGTTTTCTTAGCAATCAAACTTTCAATTCTTGATGAACTTTGATGCCTTTTTCAATTGGACTTCCAAACCAAGAAGACTCTTGGTCCTTTTATCAATTTACGAACTCAATCCTAATCCCAATAAGAATTTGGTCATGCTCTAACAATTTTCACATTGACACAAAATCCAATGCAAGGAATTATTCTTCATTCTTCAAGTCATTCTCCATCTCTTATAGTAGAACAATCTTGTGCACCAAATCTGTTTGAATCATTCAGTTCACTACCAACTCCAACCGAGGTTTTAAACCTTCTCGAATCATCACAAGCAACATAATCAACAAAATCACAACTTGCTCCACCTGGGCTATTAAAAGATTCCCCAATATCATTGCTTGAATGACCATGAGCAACCCAATCACAACCAACTCTACCTAAGCTATCTCTTATCAAACCATAAGCTGCAGCTGCTTCCATAGTGACCGTTGTACCTTCCAAAACATATAATCTAGACTTTCTCCACCTCTTTAACACAACCCCCGACACCCTTGCTAACTTTCAGAACTTTACTTTACTTCATTGGTATACTTATAACATTTTGAATCAGGAGTACCCAAAAATAGAATATTTCTATTTAAACCTAAAAATGTCTCACTAAACTAAGTCTCCTACCATCCTATTAAATATCTTGATTCCGACCTTACCAATAATAGCTATTCACAAGGCTCATTTATTTTTTCCCCCACAAAACTCCCTTGTAACTGTTTCATATGAAGAAAACTAATCTCGATTAGAACACATATGAAAAGTGCAAGCCGTATCAAGAATACAATGCTTGTTAGATTTTGAGTCATCGTCAATAATCACCAAAAGACCTCCATTGCTATAGCCTTCTTTTGCAAGATTGGCATCACTAAAATTTCTTGGTTGTCTATAAGACCTTTCGTTTGTGCCTTAAATCCGATTACCAGGTGATGCTTCATCTTTTTCTTGAGACAAAGTGCATTATATACATTGTCAATAGTGAGAATATCTCGACTAAAGAGTATTGCATCTTTAGAAATCACATATGAATGCGGCAATGAACATAACAATATCGACCTTAAATTCTCTTCTTAGTACTTGACTTACATGGTCTCCAAATCAGCAACGATTTCCTTGAATACATATAGATGATCTTCTAAACATCTACCTTCTGTCAAGAGATGAGAATACAAGTGCTACTTCAAGTGTAACTTATTGGTCAAACTCATTGTAATACAAAATTACTCTAATTTCAACTACGATAAACTGGCACATTTGTCCTTTATCACATCCTGAAAAATTTGATTAGGACGATGAAGATGTATCTGTGATAGAGCTTTCCAATACTTGTATTACTTCTCCTACATAGCCATTGTTGCGCATTCCATCCATCCCCAATAAAGCATCATCCAAGTCCAATTGAGCAAGAACTGCTAACATCTTGATTTGCCAAAAAGAAAATATGCTATTATGATTCAAAAACGGAATCTCAAATTCATAGTTACCATCCCTGAAACAATTGACCTTATTTAAACCTTGCTTTAATAACCAATTTGAACCTCCTAGGAACTGCTAAAAAATTTAAATAATAATAATAATAAAATAATTATAATTACTTGGCCCTGATACCAATTTGTTGAGAAATTGGTAATAGCTTTAATAACAATTTATTGAAAATCCGGCCAAGTAATAAAGACGAAAAAATAAGAGCAATATGAAAAATAATAGATTTACGAAAACACAAGATTTATGTGGAAGAAGAGGAGAATTTCAATATAGCAAGAAACTAAAATTATTTTACAAGGTTTGATACTCTCAATATAAATCTAAAAAATCCTCTCAATTCTAATGTATACAATAGTGATCTTATTGTTAGTTGAGCCTACACCACATGGAGTATACATTAGAACTCATTACAAGTGTCTTAGATGAAACACAACTCAAAAAATATCAAAACAAAAAACAAATTCCACCCAAATAAAACTGTTGCTCGAGCACAGGCAAGTGACAGCTTTGCTGCTCGAGCGAAATGCTAGCACCAAGCGAGATCCAACTCTCTGCTCTATTTTTCACCCCTGATTCCCGAGCTTTCAGTATAATAAGCACAATGGTTGTTTCTGAACATTTTAATTTCTCAAATTGGAAGGTGTAGGTATAAAATTTTAATATTTTAAACGAATTCTTTTCTTCCTTCTTACCCTTGTTATTCTCCGGTGGCAATCCTCTTCCTTCTTGGGCTCTTTAGGCGACGGTGGTCTGACGAAATTTATGATTTCAATTTAGTAAATCATAGTTTCACCTTCTCTTCCACTCTTCCACTAACCCTAGAAAAAATGATATTTTTATGAGACATTGGGGTGGGTGGGTTTTTGATGGGTTC